CCACGCGGCGAAAATATCCAACTCCGTGGCATGGGAACCCACGCGGAACCCACGCTGAGAAGCGCCCCATGCCGCGGCGCAACTCTGCCCGTGCCCACCCGTCGAGGAGCACTCCCCCCCTATAGTAGATAAAAAAACATATACACTGAATCTCGGAGTAGCGACATTTTGGCCCGAAAAGGTATAAATTTTTATTTCAATTTCTTTTTCCTTTATTTTTTGCTGAAAAATGCCTAATTGTACACAAAACATTGAAAAATCAATATGTAAATGAGGATTAAACTTAAACTTAATTAAAAAAGTAATAAAATTAATTAATTAATATTTAATTAATTATAAATCTTAAATTTAATTAAAAAATCAATTAATTAATATTTAATTAATGATTAAACATAAACTTAATTAAAAAATTAATGAATTTAATATATTAATATTTACTTAATTACTAAACTTAATTTCAATGTAAAAAATTAATATATTTAATTATTAAACTTAACTCTAATTAAAAAATTAATGCTTATTAATTATTAAACCTCATTTTAAAGGCATGATACTTCAATAAAAAATCATAAAATCATATTAACACACATATGATAGTGATCTATGGAAATTTTTCTCTCTTTAATGTTTTCATTAATCCTTATTATCCTTAATCTTTTATCCTTGATTAAACATTTATCGTTTTCTTTAAACTTTTCTCGTTATTTCGTTTTCTTGATATGCAAGGGTTCGTTTATTTTGTTTATATACACGTACAAATAAGTAAGTAATTATTTATATACACGTAGTATAAATAAATATAATTCTAAATATTTTAATTAATCGTTATTAAAACTTATTAAGTAATAAATTAATTGGAGATAATGAATAAAATAACTCACGATTCATCAATGAATATTAATATGAACAATTGATCGGGAAAACCGCTTTTACCGACCCATTAACGCGGCAGGGCCCACGAACCCGAGAAGCGTATGAACCGTATGATCCGTAGGATCCGTATGAACCGTATGAACCGTAGGAACCGTAGGAACCGTAGGATCCGTAGGAACCGTAGGAACCGTAGGAACCGTAGGAACCGTAGGAACCGTAGGAACCGTATGATCCGTATGATCCGTATGATCCGTATGATCCGTATGAACCGTATGAACCGTATGAACCGTATGATCCGTATGATCCGTATGATCCTTATGATCCTTTATCCTTTATCCTTAATCCTTTATCCTTTTCCTTTTCCTTTTCCTTTTCTTGATATATA